CCCCAAAACCCCAAAACCCCAAAACCCCAAAACCCCTGTTAGAAAATTTTCAGTTGAAAAATATGAATTTTTGGCAGTTACTATGGGGAGATGATGGTTACACCTTTGGTAGCAGGCTTGATGGGCTTAGTGGAGGCTTGGGATTGAGAGATAGAAGATTTACATTCTGGTTCTCTAGCGGTAGAGATTTTCTTTGAGTTTCCTTCTGTCTTGTGGTCAGAATTATCATCTTTTGTCTCTTCTCTTGGTATGTTACCAAAATTATCACGCTCAAACTGTAAAAATCTACTCATCACTTTATCTCTAGCATCTTTATTTTTCTCTTTCTGGGTTTTTGGTCTCTTTATTACCTGACTTCTTGATCTCTTTCTCTCAACAAAGGTATCTCTGAACCTCACAAAGAACGAATCTGCCAAGTTAGTCTCTTGGACATGCTCTCTCATACAATAGAGTAACTTAGTCCTAAACTCAGGGTCTTGAATCTCAAGGAATCTTCTGAATCTCTCTTCTTCATAATTATTCCATGTTTGGGTCTTCCTTCCAAAACTTGTAAGGATTTCTAGAATCTTTTCTTCTTCTTGATCGCTAATATGCCTGGTCTCCTTCAAATAAGGAGAGAGATTGGTCAGAGGCCTTTTCCTCCCCTCTATAAATTACTGAAGAGCAATACGAGTGATATAAGGGTTTTTCTGGTCTAGAGGAACCTTTCTGTGTCCAGGATGAACTTGGCAAGGGACCCTAGTATCCTCTTTGCATTCTAGTTCAGGTTCTTTCTGCTTCTTCTTTTTCCAACTCTGATAGAACATACTCGATGTATTTTGCTTCACTCCTTCTTTAGTTGTGGAATTCATCCCAGTTTGTGAGTAAGCCGTTGCTACTGGAGTTCCTGGATGAACAGAATTCTGTGAAAAATTCATGTTGAATGGGCCAAAAGCTGACATTTTCTTCTGCCTAGCTTTAATAACCCTTCTCTGCCTCTCAATTTCCTTCTTACTAGGAACATCTAAAAGGTCAGGATGTAAATATGTACCCTTGAGGCTGAGTATATAGTTCTCATAGCCATTATTTTGGAAGATTTGGTCTCAACTTATGAGTTGTCATCTTGGGATAGCCCTAAAACCAATCTCAGACCTAAACACTTACCGAGATAGGAGGCTCCTTCACAAAATGAGTCCTGTACTTCTCATTCGAGGTATGGTCAAATCTGTAAGTTCACCTAGGGATTGTTGTCATCTCTTTATTTTCAGAAATAAAATTTTAAGTAATTTATTTGCCATCCCAGAAGGGGTTTTGGGGTTTTGGGGTTTTGGGGTTTTGGGGTTTTGGGG